TAGCTTACTTAAAATATTATTAAAGCTAACGTATTTAAATAAGGTTTTTATTACCTATTTCTTCAATATATTAAAACGAGTAGCTTTAAAGTTAAATTCTTTTATAGCTTTATTATTATTAATTTTCTCTTTATACTTATTATTATTAAAGATAACGTTTTTAGCGTTCTTTTTCTAGGAATTAATATACTCTTATTAAAGTCTTTTAGCTATAAGCTTTAACTTATTTATAAGAGTTTTTATTTATTAGAAAATATTCTTTACTTTATAAGTATTAACTTTAAGACTTACGCTATTATTTAAAGATTTATAGTATATTTAAGAAGTTTATAATTAGATTTAAACGTTCTTATTTACGTTAAGTAAGAAGCTATTTATATAATAATTTAGCTAATATAGTAATAAGTAGCTAATTAACTAACTATTAGCTTTAATACTATAGGTTTTTATATTTAAGTTTAAAGGGGCTTATTTTAGTTTTAAAATAAAAATAATAATAAAGTCTAATAGAACGTGGTTTTATAGTTTTACTTAAGTATTTACTAGAACGTTTATATTAATATTTAAGGCTATTTAAACTATAATATATATCAAGTTTTATTAGTAAAGAACGTTAAGGGTAGGTATAGTTTTAATAAACGTTTTATAATTTCTAAATTAATGCTTTTATAGTTTAAATTTAAAAGGTTATTATAACCTATAAAATTAATAAAAGAACCTCTCTTATTAGACTTAGCCTTAAGAGTAAAAGACTACTTATTAAGCTATTTTAAGAGGCGTAAGATTAAAAAGAACTACTTTATAATATTATTCTTCTTATTTTTTAATTAAAAAAGAAACTTATTTAAGGTAATAATAATAGCTTAATAATAAGAGGTTAAAGCTAAAGCTTTCTATTATTTCTTATTCTTAATAAATAAATAAGTCTTAAAGGGAATAATATACTAAAAATAAACGATACTCTTATAATAGTAGTATATATACTTAATATTAAGAAGCTTATTAGCTTTTTTATTCTATTAATTAATAATTATAAGGGTTATATTAGTCTTAATAAAGTTAAGTATAATAAAGCGTTTTATCTTTAATTTTAATTAAACTTCTTTTAATTTAAGAAATATATAATATTACTAGTATTAAGCTAAAAGGCCGCGAAATCTTAAATAATACCCTAAAAGTAAAAGTTCTTACTAAGATTCACGTTAATTATAGCTAAATAAATAGCTCTCTTTAATAAACTTATAAAGGCTTAATTAAAGATTTAGTTATACTTAAAGTTCTTTAGCTTACTATTAATTATTACTTTAAAGGAAATAACGTAATTATAAGTTAAATTAACTAGTATAAATTACTTAATATCTTTATAAATAATACGTGAGACTATAAGTTATTTTATAAGAGAAACGAGATT